GTATGTTCCGTCTCCTCCCCAGCGGAACTCAGCAGAGCCAAAACATCCAGGCCGCGCCCTGGGAGACAGGACATGGTTCTCAGACAGCGAGGCCACCGACCCCTTACCACCCCTCTGTGCCCCACTCTCCCCTGTTGAGCTGGGACATGAGCTGAACACAACTCACAGAGCTGGCAGGGGACATAGTTGGGTTCAGGTGTATAAAGCGCCTTGACAGTGCCAGGCACACGGCAAATATTCAGTAAGTGTCTGGTTAATATTGCTATATACCTGGATCAAACTTGGCACCTGGTATATAGCGGATGCTAAATAAGTGGGCATTATCATCAAAGGCCCAAGTTCACGGTCTAAGAATATTCCATCTTAAGGTGTGTTTTTTTAAATTTACTTTTTAAAAATTCACATACAGTAAAATTCACGCTTTTCAAAAATATTTATTTTTTAGAGAGGGAGAGAGCACAAGTGGGGGAGGAGCAGAGAGACAGACAGAGAGGGAAAGAGGGAGAGTGACATATAATCTGAAGCAGACCCCAGGCTCTGAGCTGTCAGCGCAGAGCCTGATGCGGGGCTCTAACCCACGAACCCTGAGATCATGACCTGAGCCGAAGTCGGTCGCTCAACCGACTGAGCCGCCCAGGCACCCCAAATTCACTCTTTTTCTACACATTGTATGAGCGTTTCTTATTGTAGTAAAATCTCCACAACATAGACCCATTTAAACATTTTTTTAATTAAAAAATTTTTTTAAATGTTTTTATTTATTTCTGAGAGAGAGAGAGAGAGACAACAAGAGCAGGGGAGGGTCAGAAAGAGAGGGAGATACAGAATCTGAAACAGGCTCCAGGCTCTGAGCTAGCTGTCAGCACAGAGCCCGATACGGGGCTCGAACCCACCAACTGTGAGATCATGACCTGAGCTGAAGTCAGACGCCTAACCGACTGAGCCACCCAGGTGCCCCTTTAAACCATTTTTTGAGTGTACATTTCGGTGTCGCTGAGTATACTGACATTGTTGTGCGCCACTCACCACCGTCCATCTCCAGAACTTCACCGCCTTCCCAAACCGCCACTCTCTCTGGCAAGGAAGGGACACTTGAGTTGTTTCCTGCTCTTGGCCATCTTGAATAACGCTGCTCTGAACACTGGCGTGCAAATATCCGCTGGAGTCCCACCTTCAATTCTTAGTGTTTAGTATTTCAGTAACCGCACCGTTTCACATCCCCCCGCCACGCACCAGGGTTCTAGTTTCTCCACATCCTCGCCAACACTTGTTATTTTACCTTTTTTTCTCACGATTTTATTCTTTTTGTTTGTTTTACGTTTTACTTATTTTGAGAGAGAGCGTGCGAATAGGGGAGGGGGAGGGGGGGAGAGAGAATCCCGACACGGGGCTCTAACCCACGAACCACGAGACCATGACCCGAGCCGAGGCTGGACGCCCAACCGACTGAGCCACCCAGGCGCCCTGGAGTTTGTTTTTAAAAGAAGTGTGAATTTGTGACTGTTAAAAGATTTCTGATTTCTCTCCTAAAATTGGAATACCTGGTGGCTAGGGGGACCCCAGCACCGCTCTGCCCTTTGGTGTCAGCTGCGTGGCCTCTGAGGACGTTTGCCATGATGGTAGGAATGTGCTGGAAGCTGGGCTGAGTAGGCAGAGCGCGGCAGTTCACGTTTCGGTCTGAGGAGTTATAAGACTTGGAATTGAAGGGGTACCTGGGTGGCTCAGTTGGTTAGGCTCCCGACTTCAGCTCAGGTCATAATCTCACAATTCGTGGGTTCGAGCCCGATGTCTGGCTCTGTGCTGACAGCTCAGAGGCTGGATCCTGTTTCGGATCCTGTGTCTCCTCTCTGCCCCTCCCCCCCATCCCTCTGTCTCTCTCTCTCCAAAATAAGTAAACATAAAAACATTAAAAAAAGACTTAAGATTGAATTCTGGCCCCACCATGCTTTTGCTGTGTGACCCTGAGCCGATCATGCTCGTCTCTGACCTTAGTTTCTTATTCTGTAAAATGGAGTCAGCGAAGTCCCTCCCTGTACTCCTACCCCACGACTGGCCCAGAAAAAAGGTTAATAGATCTGCAGATGGAGGTTTTGCTATCCTATTCTAGAGGATTTCGAACTTTCTTTCTCTCTCTCTCTCTCTCTTTCTTTCTTTCTCTTTCTTTCTTCCTTCTTTCCTACCTTCCTTCCTTCCTTCCTCTCTCTTTCTTTCTTTCTTTCTTTCTTTCTTTTTCTTTCTCTTTTTTTTCCTTCCTTCCAACTTATTTTTGAGTGTAGTGGGGGAGGGGCAGAGAGGGGGGACAGAAGACGTGAAGGGGGCTCTGCGCTGACAGGCTGTCAGCACAGAGCCTGACATGGGGGTCAAACTCATGAACTGTGAGAACATGACCTGAGCCGAAGTCGGACGCTCAACTGAGTCACCCTCAAACTTATTTTTTTTTAAATATTTTTATTTATTTCTAGGAGAGAGAGAGAGACAGCGTGAGCCGGGGAGGGTCAGAGAGAGAGGGAGACACAGACTCCGAAACAGGCTCCAGGCTCTGAGCTGGCAGTCAGCACAGAGCCCGACGCGGGGCTCGAACCCACGAACTGCGAGATCATGACCTAAGCAAAAGTCAGACAGTTAACAGACTTAGCCACCCAGGCGCCCCTCAAACTTTTTTTTTTTTTAATTTTTTTTTTAATGTTTTTTATTTATTTCTAGGAGAGAGAAAGACAGCGTGAGCAGGGGAGGGTCAGAGAGAGAGGGAGTCACAGACTGAAACAGGCTCCAGGCTCTGAGCTGGCAGTCAGCACAGAGCCCGACGCGGGGCTCGAACCCACGAACTGCGAGATCATGACCTAAGCGAAAGTCGGACGCTCAACCGACTAAGCCACCCAGGCACCCCATCAAACTTATTTTTTAAAGAGGGACCGTTCAAATCAAATCTTACGCTGGCTCTCAATAGGTAGGACTGGAGAGGGGAGGGCTCATTTCCTTCCCCTGCTCCCTTGCACCCACCAGAGCATAGCCTGAAGTCTGCTGACCCTTCTAACACTTTAACAACGGGGTAACAGACCAGAGAGGGCAGTGGCCTTCCCAAGGCCACACAGTATGTTGCAGGCACAGGGCGCCCCACTCTCATCCTCAATTCTGCATATCGACTGCTTTTCCGAGTCCGCTGCCCGCATGGCACGTACGGGGCTGGTTGACTCACAGTTGCCGATGTTTCCTGAGCGTTTTACCTGTGTTAACACATCCATGTCACCTGGATGACCTGAGGAAGGTGGCGGTTGTCCCCATTTTGTGGATTAGGAGACTGAAATTCATTCATTTCATTTCACCCCGGTCATAACACCTCTGGGAATTAGCAGAGCCAGTGCTTCCCTGACTCATCCCGAGCGTCTTGCCCTTGACCCCAGGCTGGGGCCCTGCCAGCTTCCCCTCTGTGTCGCTGTGTCTCTGTCACAGTCTGTCTGTGTCTCTCCAGCCACTCCAGCTTTCCTTCAAACAAAAACCAAATCCTGCCACAGGGCCTTGGCACTTGCTCTTCCCACACCCCGGAGTGTTTTCTCCTCCCTCCTGACCAATGGCCTGCTCCTTCTCATCTGCCAGGCCCTGCTCACATGTCACCTCCTCAGAGAGGCCTGCATCCCCTTTTCCAGTCTCTGCGTGGCACAACCTAGCTCACATATTCCTCCATTCATACATTTTATGATTCATTCAGTAAACATTTTATTGGGTGTGCACTGTGTGCCAGGCCATGTTCTTGGCCCCCAGGACAGAGCAGTGAACAAAGAAGACAAAAATCCTTGCTCTGCAAAGCTTGGTTCTAGAAAGGAAGGCAAACAGTAAAGAAGTAAAATATAGAATATGTCAGGTCAGTAGTGTTTACCTTTTTAAAAGAAGGTAAACATGAAATAGTAAGGCAGAGATTCAAATCTTAGATGTGCTGGCCAGGTGGGGCCTCCAGGGGAGGCAGCCTTTGAGGAGAGGCCTGAAGGAAGCAGAGGAGCCAGCAGCCATTGGAGATCTGGGCCGGGGAAACAGCCTGTGCAGAGGCCCTGAGGCAGGAATGCATCTGGAATGTTGAGGAAAAGGGGCTGGAGTAGAGTGAATGAGGGGTAGACTGGGAGGTCATGGGGCAGGGCCCTGTGGGCCCCAGTGAGGACTTTGGCTTTTGCTCTGGGTGAGCTGGGAGCCGTCAAAGGGGCTGAGGGGAAGACGGATGTGACTCTGGTCGCCGTGGAGGGGAACAGATGGGAACCAGGAAGCAGAGCAGAGACAAAGCGCTGGTCCAGGCCACCTATGAGCCCAACACAAGCCGCCCTTGCCAGCAGGGAGTCGGCCAAGGAGGCACTGAGAAGTGGATGGATTCTGAGTAGACCTGGGCAGTGAGGAAAGAGTAGAGGCAGATGGTCCCCCACCTGCAGATGCAGATGGGCCATCTTTTGGGGTGTGCACTGCCCCTAGGTTAACCCATTTATAGCCCGCCCCCTGTGCCATCTCCATAAGGGCCAGATGGGGGTCTGTCTTGGTCACTGCTGTGTCCCCAGCAGCTCAACAGAGCCAGGCTCACAAAGGCACTCAACAGCTGCTTGGGCTCTGCAGCCCCCCGTCTCCCGTCACCTTTAGGATGTCCGTCTCTCTCTCTCTTTTTTTTTTTTTTTAAAATGTTTTATTTATTTCTAGGAGAGAGAGAGAGAGAGAGACAGTGTGAGCAGGGGAGGGTCAGAGAGAGAGGGAGTCACAGACTGAAACAGGCTCCAGGCTCCGAGCCGGCAGTCAGCACAGAGCCCGACGCGGGGCTCGAACCCACGAACCGCAAGATCATGACCTAAGCGAAAGTCGGATGCTTAACCAACTAAGCCACTCAGGCGCCCCAGGATGTCCGTCTCTCTTTAATGTCTTCTGTCTGTCCCCCATCACTACCAGGAATTTCCTCGGTCCCCTTATTCCTCTGGACCTCCCCAAGCCCCTCTCAGCCCCCCTGACCGCCCTTCTCTCCCACCCCCTTGCAGCTTCGAGGCAGAGAATGGGCCCACGCCATCTCCCGGCCGCAGCCCCCTGGACTCGCAGGCGAGCCCGGGCCTCGTACTGCACGCCGGGGGTGCTGCCAGCCAGCGCCGGGAGTCCTTCCTGTACCGCTCAGACAGTGACTACGACATGTCACCCAAAACCATGTCCCGGAACTCGTCGGTCACCAGCGAGGCGTGAGCACCCCATTCTCGCCCTCCAGGCCCGCTCCCAACACAAGCCGCCCTTGCCAGCAGGGAGCGGGCACACCGCCCAAGCCCCCGCACCTGTCCTTCCCCGTGCAAAGTAAACAGACCCCTGCCCACCGCAAGGGCTCAGTTCCTTTACGGCACGTCCACCCAGTGAGGTTTGAGAGCGCACCCCAGGGTCTCTGCCCCCCACTCAGCTACAGTGAGCCCCTCCCTCTGGCCCAGCGCCCACCCACATCCCTACCCACCCAACCTGCCCAAGCCCGCTCCTACCCACCTGGTCCCCCTCAGCCCTCCCCTTGACCCCCTCCCTGCTGTCACTTCTTCCCACAGAGCGTCCACCTTGGCTGAGCCCCCTCTTCCTTCCCCCCTCCCTCCAGGCTTCCCTAAACCAGCCCCCCTTATCACGACCACCTGTTGAGGTGTGAGCACCCCTAGACCTGCTCAGCCCCCTCCCCTCTCACTGGATCCCCATCCAGGTACCCACCTCAGCCCCCCTAACTCCTCTTGTCCCCCATCCCCTCCTACCCACTGCTCTCACCAGGCCCCACCTTGCGGTGGATTTGTGGGAGCCCTGTTTGTCTCTGCCCACCCGCCTGAGCTCCTCTCTCTGACCCCCGTTTCCTCCAGGACCAGCCCCTGCAGGGTGTCTACCCAGGGGAGGTGTAAACGCCCACCAACCTCCCCCAGCCCAGCCCCCACAGAGTGTCCACTCTAGAGAGTTGCTTCTCTGGCACCCCAGCCCCTTTTCACCAGGCCCGGGGTGTCCCACTGTGAGGATGCCTGACCTGCCCCTGTCCTTGGTTGCAGGCACGCTGAGGACCTCATCGTGACACCTTTCGCCCAGGTGAGACCCCTCCCCTAAGAAAGGAAGGGGCTGCAACCTTCCCCCACACTTGGGGACTGGGGCCTAGCCCCCCCAGCTGCCCCTCCGGTGGGTCGCTCTCCTCACTGCTCGCTCTCCGTCCCAGGTGCTGGCCAGTCTCCGGAGTGTTCGCAGCAACTTCTCACTCCTGACCAATGTGCCCATTCCCAGCAACAGGTAAGTCAAGGCTGGGCCCCAACATTCATGATCACGAAGCCAAGCGCACCTGGACTGGGTTCAACTCTTAGCTCTGCTGTGTGTCCTCAGGCAGGAACTTGACCTCTCTGAGCCTCTGTTCAGGCAGCAGTTCCCTCTGAGGGAGTAAACCATTGCAAGTTGAATGGCTAAGATGGAAACTTTTACAAATAAAGGCCAAGGGATCCAGACACAGGTGGTGAGGCCAAGGGTAGCCAGCCGCCCCCGCCTCGGGGCCGCTCGTGGCCCCATGCCAACCTTCCAGGCAAATAGCATCTTGTGGTGCCTTTGTTCCCTCTCCATAAAATGAGAATTTAATAGGGCCTCCATTAGATGCTGCTGTGAGGAGTCTGGAAGGTGATAGGTAGAAAGGGTGAGAACATCGCTGAGCACATAGTAAGTGCTCACTAAATAGAACTAATTGTTTGGGGGCAGGGGCTTGGCTGAGAGCTGCTGGTCTCTCTGGGAGGTGCAGGAACTTTGGAGACATAGGACCTGACCCTACCGCCGATCAGCCGCATAGTCTTCAGTAAGCCTGTCCACTTCCTTGAGCCCGTTTCCTCATCTGTAAAATGGGTTCTTATGGGGCTCCGGGAGAGGCTGCGGGCTGAGTACATGGCGGCATGCCTGGGACACGGGGAGCGCTCAGAAAAAGGGAGATTGGCATGATTCCTGGAGAGGGGAGGCAGGAACCTGCGGGCACACAGGCTGATGTCGGAGCGCCGTTTCTTTGCAGACGGTCCCCGCTGGGCGGCCCAACCCCTGTCTGTAAGGCCACGCTGTCAGGTAACAAAGCCCAGGGGATGGGAGAGGGCCCCTCTTGCTGCTTCAGTGGGGGACCCCTCACCTGGTGGGGGGGTGGCTGTCTTACCTCCCTTCCCAGCACCCCACTCACTTGGTGGACCCCCATCAGCTCAGGTTGGGGCCTCTGGGTCACCACCCATGCTGCCCCTTCTCCAGAAGAGACATGTCAACAACTGGCCCGGGAGACACTGGAGGAGCTGGACTGGTGCCTGGAGCAGCTGGAGACCATGCAGACCTACCGCTCCGTGAGCGAGATGGCATCTCACAAGGTGAGGCCTCCAGCCAGCGGGGTGGGACTAGCCCCTGGGCGGGGCCTGAGGATGGGGGCCAACCGCTGGGTGGGGTCTGCAGGCGGCACCACCCATGGGGCGGGGCCAGTATCTGGATAGGGCCAATGAGGTAGGACCTTTTCCTGGGCCTGTGGGGTGGGGCTGACTGCTCAGGGACCTGAGGGAGTGGCTAACATTTGGGCCGGACTAGTGGGGCGGGGCCAGGACGAGTGGGGCGGGGCCAATCTATGAATGGGGCCTTTGGGGTGGGGGTCCATGCCTGAGCAGGGCCAACCCTAGGGCTGCGTGTTCTAACAGATTCTGACTTCCCCAGGGGTGGGGAAGCCTAGTGCGCGGGGGTATACATGTCTGGTTGTACATTTGATGTAGGCAACCATCCCTCTTGAGGGGGTCATCCAATGCTTGTATAGTCTGCAGGTGCATGTGCGACTGTGGGTCTGTGTGGCTGTCAATTTGTTGGCTACACGTTTGCAGCACAAGGTGGGACGTGAGGGGATGTTCCAAGAGGGTATGTCACGAGTAGTGTGTAGATGTGTCTCTATGGAGGATGAATGGGTGTGCAAGCAGTTATACCAGATTGTAAGTGTGCGGGGCTGTGCCAGAGGGGTGTGTATGTTTCCAAGTGTGAGTTGGTCTAGGTGTGAATCTGTGTGTATCTCCACGCGTGTGTGTGCACACACACATGCGTGTGCTTGCAGGGCTGCAGGAGAGGGAGCAAGGCTTCCGTGTACAGTTGTGCAGATTGTGTACTGCACAACTCCAGAGGACACCATTCAGAAAACAGGCGGTATGAATGATGTCTTCGGGAGTTGTGCAGCACGGTGGTAGCCCGCGTGGGAGGATGCCTCTCAGGAAATGAGTGTACAGGTGGAGGTGTCTGTGTTGGGGTTGCTGCACACACCTGTGGGCGGAGGTTTGTCTGGGAACATTGGAGTCTGAGGGTGATTGTGTCTCTGAGGCTGTGCTGAGCATCTGAGGATGTGATTGTCTCTAAATGTAGGTCTCCGGGTGTATTTCTGCGATGTGTGTGTGTGTGTGTAGTTGTGGGTATGAGTGTGAGCATCTCCTTGTGGGCTTCTCAGGGTATGTATGTGTCCAAGGCCCATGGTATTTGTGTTTGTTTGAAAGTGTGCCTGTGGATGTGCTGAGTGTGTGTTACGTGTGTCCAGTATATCCGGGTGTTTGTTCCTAGGTGTGTGTCTCTGTGTCTGGGTGTGAGTCTGTGTTCTTGGAAGGGGTGTGTCTGAAGGTGTTTTATATCTCTTTCCATACCTATAAGTGGCTGGACTTCAGAGTTGTGACTGTGTGGTGTGTTGAATGTGTGTGTTGGTGTAGGTGTGTCTCACAGTGTTTGTACATCTGTGAGTGTGTACAGTGTCTGGGTGTGTCCCTGGAGGGGACACGTCCTTTTGAGGGTGTCCGTGCCTCCCTGCCTACCCCCTGCAGCCCCACCTGGGTCCAGGCTCAGGCCTGTGGGTTCCGATGCCCCTTTAATGCCCCCCCCACCCCCGGCACCACCTGACGTCGCATGCAGCCTGCCAGTGCTGCAGTGAGCACGCACACGCGCGCACACAGGCGCGCATACGGAGCCCAGAGCCTCCGAAGCCACCTCCCGGGACCCTCTCCTGCCCCCCCATGGGCAGGGGTCCCAGGCCACCTCCAGCCGCTGCCGCGGGGGGGGCCCATTAGGGCCAGGGGCTGGCAGACAATGTAACCAGGGCTGCTATCGGGAGCGCGGAGGGGAGGGGAGCCCCCAGCCCTGCTGGGCCGGCCCAGGCCCCTCCGCGGCTCCCCCTTGCACTGCCCACCTGCCCTGAACCCCCCCCCACAGTGGCTGTTAACCCCAGGACTCCCCAAGCCCAGCCTCTGTGCGCGGCAGCCCCGAGCGGGGCTAAGATTCCAAGATGCCCTTGGTGGATTTCTTCTGTGAGACCTGCTCCAAGCCGTGGCTGGTGGGCTGGTGGGACCAGGTAGGGGGAGTCGGGGTGGAGGATGGGCGGGAGACTCGGCTCGAGCCCTCCCACCTTGGATCTTCGAGCCCCTGGTCTGGGCTGGTGTGTGCTGCTGTGCACGTGTGTGGCCTGGACATGAAGCCTTGTGACTGTCTGTGTCTGTGTGTGGCCCAGGGCTGGGCGGGGATAGCGGGTGGCTGGGGATGTGGGTCTCTTGCTGGGTGTGTCTCTCAGTACTCGCATGTGTGTGTGTCTGCAGTGGTGTGGGGTGCTGTCTGACCCTGTGCTTGTTTGCCTGGGTCATGGGGTGGCCCTTTCTGAGATCGCACGGCTCTGATTGTGGTGGTGTGTGTTGGGGCATGTTTGTGAGCCCAGAGCTGTGTGGTTTTTTTGGGGCATGTGACCCCAAGTGTCCGTGACTGCCTTCTGGTGTGTGCCCCTTGATTTGTGTGCCTGTGGCTGTGTGGAACCCTGTAAGATGGTAGTCTGTGACTCTGTGTGTGGTTGTGTGACTTTGTGGGTCCATCTTGTGTATGTGTCTCCCGCAGCACTAGGAGGAGTAAGTGCCCCATCCTGGTGTGGGCTCCGAGGGCTCGCCCTTCCCATCAGGTGTCCCTCCTGCCTCTCTGGACGGAGTCTCCTCCTGCTTTGGGGGCCGCTTCAGCGGAGCTTGGGGGCGGGGAACCAATGCCCTTTCTCCTCCATGCACAATGTCACAGCAGACGCTTGTGTGAAGTGGCATTGGGGGGGGACCAGGAGGGACCTCCAAGCCTGGTTTGGGGTATACTGCACTCATCTGTGCATCTGTCCATCCCGCTGTGGTTGGGGAGAGGGGACTATGATGGGAACCCCCCTCCCCTGGGTGACCGAACAAGGTTTCCTCAGCTCGCTGTCCTCCCCTGCCCCTGCCCCTGCCCAACCTTCTCTTCTCCCAGAACTTGCATTCTCTCCTGCAAAGGAGAGACTGTATTGTCTCCTTCCAAACTGGGCTGGGATCTGGGGGCCAGGATGCTCTATGGGAGTGGGGTCCATATCTGGGAAGACTTGGGCCAGGGTAGCTCTGGGAAGGCAAGGGTTAAGGGGCCTGCGGCCTGCCCCCCTTTCCCCCAGCTCAGCAGCTGGTTGGAGGGGGAGTTGCTAAGGAGACTCCCATCACCATGGCGACGGGATTCTCCTGACACCCTATTGGCTCACTGTTTAGCGGGAGCCCCTCCCTTCCACAGGTGCCCCTCTGGCTCCTCCTTTGGGCTAGAGGAGGAGGAGGTCTGGGGAGGGGTGCCCCCCTTCCTCTGGAAGGGAGGGGTATGCAGAGTCCTGAGTCTAAGCCTGGGGCCCCCCCCAGACCTGGGAGGAGAGGAAGGGCTGACCCCTCCCCTCTAGCAGCTTGCTTAGGGCTCTGTTAGCTGAGCAGCGAAGTAGGAAGGACTCATGGGGTCTTCAGAAGTTTCTCGGGAGGGGCTAACCTCCTCCACCTTCTGCTGCCCTGTCTCCCCATCATTCCTTCCTTCTTGCCTCCTTCACCTTAGTTCAAGAGGATGTTAAACCGTGAACTCACACACCTGTCAGAGATGAGCAGGTCAGGAAACCAGGTCTCTGAGTACATCTCCACCACATTCCTGGGTGAGTGAAAGGCACCACTTGCGTGTGCGGGGAGGCTGCGTGCCTGAACTGGAGGGGGCTGCCCCAGACCGCAGGTCCTGTTGCTCACATTTGCCCAAGGGACTCTGACTCTTAAAGTCCCTAAAGATCAAGGTTACCATGCTCAAGAGTTCCCATGCTCCTGATGCCCCTGAACTCAGAGGGATGTCAACTTTTATAAAACCTCCACATTAAAAAATCTCTCCAAATAGAAAAGCCCCTCTAAACGCAGTGGAACCACAACAGGACTCAAATTCAAGACCCCAAGAAACCCACAAACTCAAATAGAATTCCTAAACTTTAAACGCCTCCAGGCTGAAAGGCCTCCCCAAATTCAGTAGAATCACCCAACTTGATATGACCCTCAAATTCAGTAGAACCCCCCCAAACTTTTGATACCTAATACAGTTACAAAATACCTCACATTCATTAGAACCCTCAAGCTAATGGGGACCTCCAACTCATCCTCATCTCTTTATCCAAAATCAGGATATGCCCCCCCCCCCCCAAACTCAGGATAATTTCATCCTCTCAATTTATCACCAATGGTTTCCAAAGTCTGGCGATCCGGCGGCACCAAGCCCAGGAAAAGGGCTCAGAGTTTCAAATACTCCCGCCAATGGGGGTGTGGCCATGCGGAGTTCTGAGGTCCAGCCAATGGGAGCAGGGCATGCAAATAACCCCCATTAGGTCCTGTTACTGACTAGCAGGGCCCCAGGTCACAATGGGTGGCACAGGCTTAGCTCTGGAAGCCTTCGAAAGCTCAGGAAAAGGGATCCTGGGGCTGGCCCCCAGGCAGGCGGGTGTCAAAGGGGTGGGGTGGGGTGGGGGTGGGGTTCATGGAGCCAGAGACTACCCTTCCCTCTCCCCTCCCCGTGCTGTCCACCCCCACCAGCATTCTCAGTCACCACGGAGGTGTCACCCCTGCCCGAGAAGTTTCCCAGCCTATACAGGGCAGGCAGCGACTCTCTCCAGCACCCACACCCCGCTTCCTGACTTCCCATGCCACCCCCTTACCAAACCTGGCGATCAGACTGGGGCCAACCCATAGCCCCCGGCCAGCCCCAGGGTCCTCACTCCAGCCCACCACCTCCCAGAAGAATTCCTACCTTCTCTCTGGTTTCCAGCTTATACGTAACCCACAGCCCGACAAGCATGACACCCTGAAGGGATCTTCCCTCCAATGTGAGCCTTCCCAGGGCACAGCGGGGAGCAGCCGAGGGGGAGTGAGGGCCGGATGAGGGAGTGTCTATGGGGGCCTCATGCTTGTCTCTCCTCCATCTTCCCAGACAAGCAGAATGAAGTGGAGATTCCATCGCCCACCATGAAGGATCGAGAAAAACAGCCAGCTCCCCGCCAGAGACCTTCCCAGCAGCCCCCGCCCCCCGGGCCGCAATTCCAGCCCATGTCTCAGATCACGGGGGTGAAGAAGCTGACGCGCAGCCACAGCCTGAACGATTCCACCATCCCCCGCTTCGGGGTGAAGACCGACCAGGAAGAGCTCCTGGCCCAAGTGAGTAGGGGCTCAGCACGGACTGGCCTGGAGAGGGGCCGGAGTCTCCCGGGGGCCGGAGAAGGACGGGGCTTTGGGTCGGGCCGAAGTGAGGAGTCAGGCATATTTGATTTATGAGACTCTCGGGGGAGCGGGAGTGAAGGAAGCAGGAGAGGAAGGAGCTAAGCAAGGAGGCGGCCTCAGCTAGAGTCTGGCCTCCACCTGAGCCCGCCAAGAGCTCTAGAGCGTGAACACAGAGGTGAGCCCACCTTGAGGCAAGAGTGCTGGACTTTTGTACCCCGGTGTCAGTCGCTGGCTGTGGGCTGTCCCCAGAGTGGACAGCATTACCGCCTCCGTGTAGCTCCTGTAGGGGCAAGAGGAGTTTTCTGGAGAACAGAGCAGCTGTGAATCTTTGTAAGCAAGAGTCCCGGCACCCGGCAGGTGCAAGATGGGGGCACCGGTCAGTGAAGGGGATCGGGGCAGAACCCAGATAGCATCCGCTACACGCCAGACCTGGGTTCAGCTCCTGGGTCTGCCGTGAAACCCCTATGCCAAGGGGCTCCCACATTGGTTTGTCCGGTGGACTCGATGCACTCTTGTTGGCTCACGTGGCTGACATGTAACCTGCACGCCAACACTAGCCAGAGCCACAGTCAGTCACCCAGTGTTTACTGAGCACCTACTATATGCTGGCCCTCTTCTGGATGTTGAGGAGATGTGGAAAATCAGCCTGGGTTCCTTTCCCCCTGGCGCTAATGAGCAGTTTGGCTCAGAAGCTAAACTGTGCTTTGGGGGTCAGCCAAGCTGAGTTCACGTCACAGCTTTGCCACTTGTGAGATGCAGGGTCTTGGGTCAGTCACATCTCCTCTCTGAGCTTTGGTTCTCCGCCCAACCTACATGAGATCAGGTGCTTAGCATAATGCCTGGGAGCTAATAATCACTCAGGACACAGGTGCTGCGGTTGCTTTGTCATCTTCCGGCCCCGCCCGGCCAGGTAGGGACACAGTCAATTCTGTGCTGCCCCACACGCCCCGCCCCGGGCAATCATGGTGCTACTTTCAGACCGGAGCTCTGAATTGCTAGGAAAGAGTCCAGAGGGGTAAAGACCAAGAGGAACTTCTGACCCACGTGGGTAAGGGCGTGGCCCTGGGCCTCATGGGCTCCTGACCTCGGGCCTCCAACTCCTCCAGGAGCTGGAGAACCTGAACAAGTGGGGTCTGAACATCTTCTGCGTGTCCGAGTACGCCCGCGGCCGTTCCCTCAGCTGCATCATGTACACGATATTTCAGGTAGGGTGGGCGGAGGGGGGCCGGGCGCGCGGGAGGGGGCCGGGTGGAGAGCTGAGAGCTCGCTGGAGTCACCGGCCCCCACACCTACCGTCAGGAGCGCGACCTGCTGAAGAAGTTCCGCATCCCGGTGGACACCATGGTGACGTACATGCTGACCCTGGAAGACCACTACCACCCCGACGTGGCCTACCACAACAGCCTGCACGCGGCCGACGTGCTGCAGTCCACCCACGTGCTGCTGGCCACGCCCGCGCTGGATGTGAGCCCCGCCCGCCCCCGCGTCTCCCCAACCCGGTCTCCCATCTCCTGACCCCCGTCTCTCTCTGATGCTCCTCTTTCTGGTCTTCATCTATCTCTCCTGACCGTCTTTTTTGGCACCCGCATCTCCCTCTCATCCTGTCTCTCAGGTCCCCCGTCTTTCTAAACCCATCTCTCCGCCACCCCCTCTCCGCCCCTAGGCTGTGTTCACGGACCTGGAGATTCTTGCCGCCCTCTTCGCGGCTGCTATTCATGACGTAGACCACCCTGGGGTCTCCAACCAGTTCCTCATCAACACTAGTGAGTGGCCCCGCGCGGGGGCGGGGCCTGCCGGGTTGGAGGCGGGGCCTGCGCTGCCCCACCCCTCGAGGCGGCCCCGCCGGCTCCCGCCCCCCCTGACCGCCTGCCTGGGCCTGGGCCGCAGATTCGGAGCTGGCGCTCATGTACAACGACGAGTCGGTGCTGGAGAACCACCACCTGGCCGTGGGCTTCAAGCTGCTGCAGGAAGACAACTGCGATATCTTCCAGAACCTCAGCAAGCGCCAGCGGCAGAGCCTGCGCAAGATGGTCATCGACATGGTGGGCGGGGCGGGGGCGGGGACAGAACGGAAAAGGTCGCCTTGGACCCTCGGGTTGAGACAGGGTCCGAGTCCAGGCCGGGAAACCCCGGGAGAGTCATCCTTTGAGGGGGCTGGGAACAGGTTGCGCTGAGCGGAAACTTTAGAGGCGTAGTTGGGGTCAGTACAGCCCGTGGCAGGACTTCAGTGGCCCCTCGCCCACAGGTGCTGGCCACGGACATGTCCAAACACATGACCCTCCTGGCAGACCTGAAGACCATGGTGGAGACCAAGAAAGTGACCAGCTCGGGGGTCCTGCTGCTGGACAACTACTCCGACCGCATCCAGGTGCGGTCCCCCCCCCCCCCCCCCCCCCCCCCCCCACAGAAGGAGACCCAACCCTCTCTCCCTTTCTCTCTCTCTCCTTTGGGTCCAGGTTGTTGCTCCCCCTCCCTCAGCCTCCAGCTCCCATGTTGCGCCTCTTCCTGTCTCTTTTCTGTGTCTCTTCCCATCTCTCCACCCCAACTCCCATCCCCTACCATCCCTCCTAGTTTCCTCTTCCCTTCCTCCATCACCCCTTCCTGTCTCCTCCGCCTCCGCCAACACCCCCTTCTCTCCTCTCCCTCCATCTCTTTCTTTTCTCTCCCCCTACCGTCCTCTCCCCTCTCCCCCCCATTTCCCCTGTCTCTCTCTCCACCTCCCCCTACCTCAGTCTCCCCATAAAGGGGGAGGTAAGGAAGCGTGAGGTCCCAGACTGGGACAGGGGCACGGCCTCTGAAGCCCCCCTCCCCCACCTCACGCAGGTCCTCCGGAATATGGTGCACTGCGCAGACCTCAGCAACCCCACCAAGCCGTTGGAGCTGTACCGCCAGTGGACGGACCGCATCATGGCCGAGTTCTTCCAGCAGGGCGACCGTGAACGTGAGCGGGGCATGGAGATCAGCCCCATGTGCGACAAGCACACAGCCTCTGTGGAGAAGTCTCAGGTACAGATTCAGCGGGGCCTCCCCACCCCACGCTGGCCCTGAGCTCCGAGACCCAGGAGTTCCTGACCTGCCCCGCCACAGAGTCACGTTTTTCCGTGTGTGTGTGTGTGTGTGTGTGTGTGTGTGTGTGTGTGTTCCTTTTCTATCTTGATGGGAAATTTGCAACATTTTCCCTTCTGCAGAATAACCAACACTGGGCCTCTGGATTCACAACCTTAGACCTGAGTGGACAGTTCTCTCATTTGTAGCCAGCAAAAAGCATCAGTAATAATACTTACCCGGCTCTTAGTTACAGACCGCACGTCGCCCCAGCCTCCTGGCATCCCTGTAACCCGGCCACAGAGTCTGTCCTTGGTTTTTGGTGGGGTTTGACAATGAGATGCCATGACGCGTCACCGTGTGCTTGTTTCACTTGACAAGAGGTACAGAAACACTGTCTTGTTCGTGGAGTGTGAACGTGAAAGTTTCTCACCCTCCCCACTCCCAGTCTCGACCCTGGCGAGACCTGTTTGTCCCGGATCACTGCGCACGCCTTTCCAGAGCCCAGCTACCCAGCCTTGGCACTATTGACATTTGGGGCTGGATCGCTCTCTGTCGCAGGGGCCGTCCTGGCCTTGTAGGATTTTGAGCAGCCTCCCTGGCCTCCACCCCTCCCCTTCCAGTTACAACGATAAAAATGTCTCTAGATGCTTCCAGATGCCCCCTCAGCATGCAGATCACCCCATCCCACCAATGCCCGGGAAAACCAGCTCCCGTAGGTTTTATCATGTAGTTACGTTATGGGCAACTTCATAGTAATAGTTCGGGGCGGCGGGAGGTGTTTGCTTTTTTTTTTATAGGAATTTTATCAGTATATACCTGTTTTTATACAGCTTGCTTTTTCTTCCAAACAATGACTTGGAGATGTGTCCAAGTTATTATGTATAGATTGGGCTCATCATTTTCGAGCACTGTGTAGTATTCTCACAGATACAGACAGCAAATGGGTTGTATGGTTTTCCCCTGTAGATGGCCATTTAGGTGTTGAAGAGTTACAAATTTACAGAGACCCAAACGAGACAAGGCTTCATTTTTGTTTGAGAGAGAGCGCAAGAGAGCAAGTGAGCAAGGGGCAGAGAATAGAGAGAGGATCCCCAGAGGGACAGAGAAAGAGAGAGAAAGAAGTGGGGTTCATTTGGGGCTCCTGTGTTTACTCAAAGTGGGGCTCGTGCTCGCCTGATGTGGAACTCAGACTCACTAACTGTGAGGTCATGACCTGAGCCGAAGTCAAATGCTTGAGGACTGAGCCACCCAGACGCCCCATTTTTATTCTCTCATGTATAAGAAAAGTCCAGGGGCACCTGGGGGCTCAGAGTCTGTTAAGCGTCCAACTTTGGCTCAGGTCATGACCTCATAGTTCAGGCATTCGAGCCCCACGTCGGGTTCTTTCTACTGTCAGCTCAGAGCCTGCTTCAGATCCTCTGTCTACCCCCCTCTGCTCCTCCCCTCACCCCCTCACAAAAATAAACAAAAAATATTTTTTAATTTTTTTTAATGTTTTATCAATTTCTGAGAGACAGACACACACACAGTGTGAGCAGGGGAGGGTCAGAGAGAGAGGGAGACACAGAATCGGAAGCAGGCTCCAGGCTCTGAGCTGTCAGCACAGAGCCCGACCGGGGCCTGAACCCACGAACCGTGAGATCATGACCTGAGCCGAAGTTGGACACTTAACCAACTGAGCCACCCAGTCACCCTCAAAAAATTTAATTAGAAAAAAAAAAGAAGAGTCTAGAGAAAGAATTTAGCTCCCTTTGGCTCCATGAAATTGCCAAGCACCTAGGAGATTTCAGTTTCTCTTCTGTCATCAGAAGCAGGGGGCTTTTGTCCCTAGAGACGCCTCTTATGGTCACAGATGCTGCTGAAACTCTAGCCGTTCTGGCCACATCGCAGGGAGGAAGGGTCTCTGCCAGCTGAAGCAGCCTCCCTACCCCCTATTCACACCCCGACCCGACCTTCCATCCACAAGTGGTCACATGGCCTCTCTCTCTCTCTGCAAAGGAGGCTGGGAAATGTAGTTTTCGCTTATATGGGGAAAGCATTGCCTCCAGCAAGAAAAATGAAGATTCTGTTAATAAAAGAGAGGGAAGATAATATCAGAGTGTGGGTCAGTACTCTGCCATGGAATTATTTATAGTTTCTCTTTGTTGCAAAAAATATCATTATTAGTATGTGGTGTACCATAATGTTTTAAAACATTTTATTTTAATTAATTAATTATTTATTTTTTGAGAGAGAGAGAGAGAGAGCCTGAGCAAGGGATGAGCAGAGAGAGAGAGAGAGAGAGAGAGAGAATATCCCAAGCAGGCTCTGCACTCAGCGCAGAGCCCAACACAGGGCTTGAACTCACAAACCTTGAGATCGTGACCTGAGCCGAAACCAAAAGTTGATCACTTAAGCAACTCAGCCATCCCGGAGCCCCCACAATTTTCTAAAACAAATTCCCAGCTGATAGGTATATAGAAGTTTCCAGTATTTGTTTACATGTCACATGTGAATTTTTTCTTACCTATGCAAGAGTTTTCCCAGGGCAGATCTGGAGGCGGGAGATGACTAGGTTAAATGCTATCAGCATCTTTTTTTTGTTTGTTTTCTTTAATGTTCATTTATTTTTTGAGAGAGTGTGAGCAGGGGAGGGGCAGAGAGAGAGGGAGACATAGAATCTGAAGCAGGCTCCAGGCTGTCAGCACAGAGCCCGAGGCGGGGCTCGAACTCACAAACCGCAAGATCATAACCTGAGCTGCAATCGGAGGCTTAACTGACTGAGCCCCCCAGGCGCCCCAACATCTTTGAAACTTTACTAGCCCCCACAGCATGGCGCTCCCATCTGCAACAGCCGGCCCCCCTGTTTACACCGCGGTCCCTTCTCTCCCAGGTGGGTTTCATCGACTACATCGTGCACCCGCTGTGGGAGACGTGGGCCGACCTGGTTCACCCGGACGCCCAGGAGATCCTGGACACGCTGGAGGACAACCGAGACTGGTACTACAGCGCCATCCGGCAGAGCCCCTCACCACCGCCCGAGGAGGAGCCCAGGGGGCCGGGCCACCCACCGCCCCCCGACAAGTTCCAGTTCGAGCTGACGCTGGAAGAGGAGGAGGAGGAGGAGGCGTGCGCCGCGCCAGGCGCGTTTTCAGCGCGGGAATTGTGCGGGGCTCCGGATGCGCCCCCGGCCGGCGAACTCTCGGAGGTCGGTGGGCAGGACCGGCCCTCGGAGGTGAAGGTACAGGACCCTGGCACACGGCGAGCAGACTCGGCCGGTGGCGTGGCTGCGGGCAAGGACAAGGCCGGGTCCCCAGGCGCATCCGCGGAGGCCGTCGGCTGCAGCCGCCCCCCGGCCCTGCCCGCCCAGGGCCCCCTTCTGCCCGCCTTGAGGACCCGGCCCGCTCCGGACGAGGTGCCGGGCCTCCCGGGCCTCCCCTCCGTGGCGGCCGAGGCGGGGGCCCAAAAAGAGCACCAGGCTGCCAAGAGGGCGTGCAGCGCCTGCACAGGAACGTCCGGCGAGGAGCCCCCCCCACTCCCAACCCCCGGTGGGGGAGGGGCAGCTGGGGGCCCGACCTGAGCCCCCGCCCCTGCGCCCTCCCGCCCTCCCCGCCGCCCCTCCCCACCATTCCCCCACGCCCACCTCCTCCACTGCCTCAAAGACTCTTGGGCCTCCCGAGAAAAAAGAAAACAGAAAAGTGGGGTTTTTTCTCTTTTCTTTTTTTCCTCTCTCCCCCCACCCCCACCCACGGGGCCTCTTTTTGGAGGTGGGGGCTGGGGATCGAGGGGCGGAGGTCCCGGAAGGGATTTTATTTTTGGAATTTTAATTGTTACATTTTTAGAAAAAGAAAAAAAAAAAAAAAACAGGATGAAACACAGCAACTGTAGATGCTCCTGTCCCCGACTCCCCCCTGTGTCCCATCTGCACCCACCTCCCCCCACCTCCCCCCTGCCCCAGGCCCCAGGCCCACAGGCTCAGTCTTCCGGCCTCCTAGGGCTCTAGGCCTGGGCCCAGGCAGGCAGAGCGCCTCCCCTTCCGGGCTTTTCTTCTGAATTTTGGAGGGTCTCTGGAACCCAGCCAGGAATAGCCATTCCGGGCGGGTCGGGGGGTGGGGGTCCGGGGTGGGGGCCGTCACCGTGGGAGGCCCCAGCTCCAGCCCCTCTCTGGCGCACTGCCCCCCCCCCCAGAAGTCTTCCGCCTCATTTTGCACAAACCTGGCAATACTAACCCGAGGGACAGGGACCGGGATGGGGAGCTGCGGGCTTTAAGATGTAGCAGAGGTGGGTTTTGGAGGGACATTCGCACTACCAACCTGGGCTCTGAGGTTTGAGGAGGGCCTGATCACCCCCCTCCCCCGCTCCTCCTCCCCACCCCCCTCGGCTTGCCATCCCCCTTCCCCTTCGGGTTCCGTTTGAATTTTCTCCATGGGGGGGGGTTGGCTCCGAACCACACCCCTCCTTCCAGCTGCTTCTCCTCTTGTTTCTGCCTTAACGATTCCGTGGCCATAGGAGAGGGGTTCGCAGTGGCCCCCATCCTGGGCATCCCGCCTCCCCCCCCAGCATCCTCCTGACACCCTTCACAACCCTTTGCCCTGGGAGGAAGCAATAACAGTGTACACCCACATCCCCTTTCTGGGCAGCCCTCTGGCACCAAAGTCCTTTCTCCTTTGCTCCCGCCTGGCCACGCCTCCCCCTCAGCCCTTAGCTATTCCTGGAGCAATATGACAGACAGATGCAAGGCCATTTTTCTCCAAGCCATGGGGGACTTGTTTGGAAGGAAAGACCCCCCTCTTGCCCTGTCCTTTCTGCCCTTTGGCCCAGTTCTGCAGCTGGGCCAGGCAGGGCCCCCCTCTCTCTCTCTCCTGTCCCCCTGCCCCCCACTCTGAGCACACGGTACTGTAGCCCCTGGCTGCCGCAGCCTTCCATCTGTCTGTCTGTCCCTGTGGGGAGTACCACCTGCTCCCACCCCCGTGATGCTGTACAGGGTTCATTTTTGTAGCGAAAGTAGTTTCTGTCCCAGCCAGTGACTGGAATGGGACTTCTTTGGGTTTTCTTTCTGTTTTTTTCTTCTCTCTCTCTCTCTCTTTTTTTTTTTTTTTTTGTACATACTGTAAGGTTGGTTTGTAAATTATTCTACCGAGGCAAAAAGGGAAAATAAACTTGCCCTTCCCCAGCTGACACAGCCAGGGGAAGGAGGGGTGGGGTCTCCCAGAGAGAGACCCCATTCCCACTGTATTATACAAACTGTACCATAGACCCCGAAAGGGTGGGTTCAGCGCTGCCGTTCGATGGGAAGTCGTGTCATCTTGGGGGGTGAGGGCTGAGCAGAGCCTGCCCCTCGCCCCTTCCCCAGGTGTGACTGGTGAGACGGAACCCCACCCCCAATCAGGGCTCCTCTCCCCAGCAGGAGGGGGGGCGCAGGACCCCCTTATCTGCTCTTGTTTTGTCCACTTTGACGATCAGTCAGTCGGTCCGTTGATCGATAGTCAATCCTTCGATCTCGTCTCCAATTAAACCGAGGCTTTCGCTGACCTTCCTGGCTCATGTGACTTCCTTTTCCACCCTGTTTTTGGGGGACGTGCCTCTCCTGCACCGTCTGCCTGGGGCAGGCATAAGGGGAGAGAGAGGCTCCATCCCTATCCCTCTCCAAGCATGGAGAACACAGCAAGTGTGGCGGGAGGCAGCCTCAGGCCTGGGCCAGGTATGGCTCGCTCAAGAACTTGAGGTTGTGAATTGGAGGTTCAGACCAGTCTTTGGAGGCTAGCCGACCCAGGTAAACCCCACTTCTTGTACACACTATATCTGACACGACTCTGGGTACTTCTAGAATCTCAGAGTCATTCCTGGAAACCTCAAGGGGGGCTGATTGATAACGCCATCACCATCTGCCTGCCAGGCCCTGATAAAAGGTCTCTGGTCAAATTCTCCTGTACATTAAACTTGATAAGCAGCCACAAGAGACTTTACTTACCCCCGTAAGTTCTACAAATTCCTAGCATCCTGGCCATTTTGGTGTTGGCAACCTTCGCATTGCATTAAAACAACCCCAAACAAACCTGAATATCTTTTTTTTCAATATTTTTTATTTATTTCTAGGAGAGAGAGAGAGAGAGACCGTGAGCAAGGGAGGGCCAGAGAGAGAGGGAGACACAGACTCTGAAATAGGCTCCAGGCTCTGAGCTGGCAGTCAGCACAGAGCCCGATGCGGGGCTTGAACCCACAAACCATGAGATTATGACCTAAGCGAAAGTCAGACGCTTAACCGACTAAGCCACCCAGGCACCCCTGAATATCTTTTTTAAAAAAGATTTTATATATTTTTAAGATTTTACATTTTTATGTAATCTCTTCCCCCAACATGGGGCTTAAACTCACGACCCTGACCTCAAGAGTCATAGGCTGTACTGACTAAGCCGGACAGGTAGGTGCCTCCAAACCTGAACATCTTAAAGGCAGGGCTCTGTGTGGCTTTGGGCCCCGTGAGCCTTGTGATCAGTATCAGGCAAGCCGAATCCTCCAAATTCACACAAGACTGGCTTGGGATTTAATCTATTTTGCTTAAGTGTTCATTCAAGGTTGGGGAGTGAGTGACTCAGACAGTTTAACCAATCCACATATTTGAATACTGTTAATTTCACTCAAGGGATCCCATTTTCCAACCTTTATCAGGCTAATTAACAAACCCTGATTTCACCAATGTTTCTGACATTCGTTATGCTAATGAGCCAAAAACTTCCCAAGTGGATAAAGAGATGGATGGCAGAAGTGTTTGTGATTTGAGCTTTTGGTTTAGAATACTGGCTGCCCCTGGGTGTAATATATTAGGATGCACATACACACTCAGTGCCTAAGTGGTTAAGCACAGGGCCATCGGTGGATGTATATATTCACACCTTCCTCGGATCTAAGGAAAGGTGGACCTGCTTACTCTCTCATCTCTCGTTGTCGGAGTAGTTTGGATCCCAGTTGTGGCTGGGTGATGCTGGGCATGATCTCTTTGACTTTCAGTCGTCTCATCTATAAAAGGGGATCACAGGGGCCTGGGTGGCACTGTCAGTTGAGCGTCTGACTTTGGCTCAGGTCATGATCTCACGGTTTGTGGGTTTGAGCCCCGCGTCTGGCTCTGTGCTGACAACTAGCTCAGAGCCTGGAGCCTGTTTCAGATTCTGTGTCTCCCTCTCTCTCTGACCCTCCCCGGCTCTTGCTGTCTCTCTCTCTCAGAAATAAATAAATAAATATTAACAAATTAAGAAATAAATAAATAAAATGGGGAGATCACAAAAATCCCAGTCCGTCTAGAGCAGGGCTGTGAAACTTTCTACGATGATAGGAGCGTTCGGTTTGTGCTGTCCAGCACAGTAGCCACTAGCCACATGTGGCTATTAAGCCTTTGAAATGTGGTTCGTGCGACTGAGGAGATAGGGTTTTAATTTTCCTTTACGTTAAGTAGCCGCATGGCTACCATATGAGACTGTACAGTTCTGGAACTTAAGTAGGAGGCTGGATGTATAGGATTTAGCGTGTAGAAAGGTCTGCCTGCTTCGCTGTGGTTTAAAGATTTACGGTGTGTCAATATCCTGGCCCAGAAGAGTGGGGGCCAGCCTGGGCTCAGAGAGGAAAAGCAAAGCTGGAAAACTAGGTAGAAGTTTCCAGGGAATCTGAACTTTGTGCAAGAAGTAGAGGAGACACACATTTTCCCAAGGGTGTTTCAAAGGGAGGCAGAGTCGGGGAAAGGGTGTCAGGCTGAGGGTCAGGAGGCGATAGCCTTTTTTTTTTTTTTTAATTTATTTCTAGGAGAGAGAGAGAGAGACAGTGTGAGCAGGGGAGGGTCAGAGAGAGAGGGAGTCACAGACTGAAACAGCCTCCAGGCTCTGAGCTGGCAGTCAGCACAGAGCCCGACGCGGGGCTTGAACACACGAACCGCGAGATCATGACCTAAGTGAAAGTCAGACGCTTAACCGACTAAGCCACCCAGGCACCCCTAGGAGGCGATAGCCTTAATCCCAAGTGGCAGGGGAAGGCTGATGAGACTTCGTTGCTCTGGAAGACCTCAGTTTCCCCAAGTGCAGGCAGGGTGTCCCAAATGCCTCCTCCGTTGGGACTCTGTCACAGGGTGAGAATGTGGGTCAAAGGGCAGAGGGGAGGCATGTGATCATCAGCTGGCTCTTTCAAATCCTTGCGGTGGGGAGTTCATCTTTTCTCAGGCAAAGGTGACCAAGGGTAGTGGTGCACAGCAGCAAGGCCTTGTAATCTTAATAGGACATGGAGACCTGGGGAAGGGGTGGAGCCGGTTCAAGTTCAAGTTGATATCAGCCACTTGCAAGTTACTTAGTGTGACACAGTGGCTTTGCCTCTTCCAGCCTTTAGAGGACTGCGCCCAGTGCTAAACTCATTAGGTGGATTATTTTACTGGCTCTGTGGCAGTCCTTGTCGTCTACTATTACAGGCTCCCTTTTATAGATGAGGAAACTGAGGCCAGGAAGTGATCTCCCCGTCAAGGAAATAAGGCAGAGACCTCACTTCACCTATTGTCCTTTGCACAAGGATAACTGCCTGATCACGGCCTGATACTTTCATTATCGTTGCTACTTTTTTTTTTTTTAAAGTCAGCTAGCTCTGCACCCATTGTGGGGCTTGAACTCACCACCCAGAGATCAAGAGTCACATGCTCCACTGACTAAGCCAGCTAGGTGCCCCTAAAATATATATATTTTTAATCTACTTGGCAAATAATGAAAAGAGGGACCATCCTGGTGTGGCCAAAGCACTTTCATAGCTCATTAGTGTTGGTGGAAGTTGGCACATATGGCTTTTCAAGAGAGGTCTGACAATATTTATTAAAAATGTAACTGCATGCATTTTGACGCAGCCATTGCAGTTTTTAAAATATTTATCCTAGGGGCGCCTGGGTGGCTTAGTCGATTAAGCGTCCGACTTTCGCTTAGGTCATGATCTCACGGATCGTGGGTTCGAGCCCCGCGTTGGGCTCTGTGCTGACTGCCAGTTCAGAGCCTGGAGCCTGTGTCAGTCTGTGACTCCCTCTCTCTCTGACCCTCCCCTGCTCACGCTGTCTCTCTCTCTCTCCTAAAAATAAATAAAACATTTTAAAAAAAAATAAAATATTTATCCTAAAGAGACATTTGGACAGAAACCTAAAGATGAAGGCAGACAAAATGCTTATTCTAGTATTGGTCAGTATAGTGAACTATTATTTATGGGGTTTTTTTTCTGAGAGAGAGAGACAGACAGTGTGTGCAGGGGAGGGTCAAAGAGAGAGGGAAGCACAGAATCTGAAACAGGCTCCAGGCTCTGAGCAGGCTGTCAGCACAGAGCCCGATGCGGGTCTCGAACCAGGAACCGTGAGATCAGGACATGAGCCAAAGTCAGCTGCCCAACCTACTGAGCCACTCATGCGCCCCAAAGAACTATTATTTAAAATGTTCAACATTAGAGTGGCATTAAATTATGCTCATTTGTACAGTGCAAAAATATGAGCTATTAAAAACAATAAGGTAGAGGAAAAACAATGAGGAGGGTCTACATTTAATTGAAATGACAACATGTTTATAGTGAGAGGAGCAAAATTTCAAAATGTTCTGCATTATATGATCCTACTAAAAGAGGATCCACTAGAAAAGGCAGTTTGTCAATCTAAATATTAATGATGTCTCCAGCGGTAGGATTAGGAGAGATCTATATTTTCTGTTGTGTAGGCTTCGATATTTTCTGACCCTTATTAGCAGTGAGCAGATATTAATTTTATAATCAAGGGGAAGGCTATTTTACAATCAGGGTAAAGAAATACCAGTATTTGTTATCTGGCCGGCACAAAAGCACGGTGGATTAAGCGTACAGACTCTGAATTCAGCTTCCTTGGATTCTAGTTCCCCCATCTCCAGCTAATGACTGGGTTAGTCAAGCAGGTAACTTCCTCGCTCTGTGCCTCGGTTTCCCTCCCTGTAAAATGCAAATAACTGCTCGGATTACTATTGCTTGTTTTACGTAAATTGCCGCACTGAATTCTCACAACAGCCCTGTAAACTAGGGACTGTTTTAAACGGGTCATAGCCTGGGAAGGAGGCGGGACCGGAAGCTCCCCGTCCCCAAGCGCCTCCCAGAGTGGAGCTGGGGGGGAAAAAAACCGCGGGACCGGAAACGCACGCACGCGCAGACCGCGTGGAAGGCGGGGCGAAGGCACGCGGGACACTTTCCCCTTGTGCTACTATTGGCTGTCGTGGCTGTCATTAGCCGAGGAGGCGGCCAATGAGGGTCGCGGCCGCTTCGCCCGGGGAACCCGAGCGCTGAGCGAGCGGAGGCTCTCGGACTGCTGCAGGTGCGCGGAACCCCGAAAAGGGTGAGAGGACCTGGTGTCACTCCCTCAGAGTGACCCCAGCATCGTTCCCACTTGTTAAGGGGGCCCCAACGTTAACCTTCTTTCCTGAGAGTACCCTGGCGTCATTTCCCGCTTCCCTAAGGGGGCCCTAGATGACGACCCTTTTTCCTTTCTTTAAAAATTTTTGTAACTTTTTTTT